ACGATAATTATATTTTTATTCGATTCGTGCGCGGGCTTAACAACCGTATTGTGACAGGTTATGTGATTTTGGATTTTATCGTAGGCAACTTTAATTGCATTGAGGTGCATATAGTTGTCTATATTGACATCGCGAATTTAATTTTCAAAACTGATTGCATATTATTACAAAATTAATGATAATAATTTTTTACATTTTTGAGTAATTTTTTTGTTTTTGTGTGTGTTTATCGATTATTTCTACGCGTGATGCGCGTGCAATAGATGCATATCAGACACGCGGGTTTAACGAACTTTTGGCTGCGCGCGTCGTGTTTGTATGTCGATATTAAAAATTAATCACAGCTTAAAATTCATGATGCCTCGCCGAGACCAAATGCATACTGGTAGCAACAGCAGCGCATGATAAAACATACAGCACCATTGACGTCTTTTAATTTCCTGCTGGCGTCACAGACAATTATTTTGTGTTTACTGATTTATTACATGCCACTGGAGCTAAAAATAGACATTTCGTGTCATCTTTGTAATTAGAAGATGATTAAAGAGATGTTTTATATAATTTTTTGTTCGATCCGAGTTAAATTGTGTGGAATTAGTTTTAATGTGCGTCAATTTATTGTAATATTTCTATGTCTCTCGATTGACTTATCTGGTATGCGTTAATGTAGACACTGCTGGTACACGGATAGTTTAGTGTGTAGTTTAAAACTTAATGTTGTTGTTTGGTGTCAAGGATGTTTTATTTATTCGTGCGTTTATAACGCGCGCGAATGTTTATATCAGGCGGGCGCTCTTACGCATAATGAGTACTGAGATAATAAAAATATCAATGTTATGATATTAATTCCATGAATTGGAAAAATTTATTCAGCTGGGCTAATTCCAAAGGTTGTTTTTCATGATAATTATGTTAAAATACGTCGGTAAATTTTAAGTGAAAGTTAAAATTTGGTTGAAAAATGAAAAAAGGTAAAAAAATTGAATTTTAACTGTCTGGAAATAATTTTGGAGCTTTCGCCAAGGTTAACTGGTTTCACTTGTGTAAAATTACAATGTAATTAATGTAGGAAGCGATTGGTAACAATATATTGATGATAACGACAAATTGCTTGTGATTTTTTTTTCTAATTACGATTAGAATGGTGTAATATACGTTTATTCTAAAATTTCTATCAAACATTGAAAAGTCCATAGTTTCAGCCAGATGCGCACCCGCAGAACCTACCTACACGTTAATTATCTACAATCGATTAATTTAAATACATGTGCGTGCAAATATTATCACTCTGGAGTGTATGTAGTCTTACTTTTAGCCTAGCTAGCACAGCTTTCTGTAATGATGTATAAATTGGTCGTTAATCGATCCACTTCAAAACGTTTGCGGCGTTTAGTTTGCGCCAATCGCGCGCGAACGGAACAATATTGGTTTCCAGCCGCCGGTAGGTAGGTAGGTAATAAATTAAACTTGTTGGATGTTTACCGGCGAACTTTGATCACTTGTCGTGAGCTGGTGTGACATTTTAGATTTGGAATTTAGTTTTAATGGGGAAATGCGCAGGCAAGCGTAGCCTTGTGCGAGACTGGCGTTGATAGCAAGATGGCCGTCAACGGCGACGGCTGGGATCGATTGTGGAGTTACATTTGATATGTAAATATAGTGCGTAAACACGCATATTATTTACATATTTAGCAATAAGAAATTTCTATGACTGACTAACCGAATGGTAATTTTTGTCGGTTGTGTTACAATTCTATTTTTAACTAAGTATTTTAATCAAAATTTGCTATTATTTTTATTTATATAAAGAAATTAAAAAATAATGAATCGTTTTCTTTTCTTATTTAAACATTCAAATTATTGTGTTATAGGGAGTTTTTGTTTTTATTAACAATTTTTCTAAAAGTTTGCTATTATTTAAAAATTAAACATTTAAGATTAAATTTTGTTTGGTTGATGAATCTCTGTACAACGTGATGCAAATTTTTAGTTTGGCACGATTTTTTCCTAGAAAATCACGAGTGATCACTGAAAATCATGCGCTTTTCACTCGTGGTTGTATCATCACATGACTTTTTTTTCTAATTTCCCTTTCGCATTCAAACCATTGTACAAAATGATGCCAACATTTTTTTATGAACATAAACTTTGTATTTTCTAGTTGCTATGTGTTACTTTCATCCTTAGTGATTGTTTTCAGGTATTTGCCAATCGAGTTTGACTACTTTTTACGTTCCTTTTACTAATATGACATATTCTGCTAATCTACCATAATTAATTGTGTTTTAATGACTAGATTGCGTGTCTACCTTTATTGTTTAACTGCATACATATCACCAATATTTTTGTTATGCCTTGTTATCTCATTTGTCAACTTTGTTTCACTTTCTCAGGGGTCGAGTGCATGTTGCGTCTCGTTCGGTTTCTATTTCCAACGAACGAAAAATTTCGAATTTATATTTTAAACCCATTCAACCGAACTGCAGTGATTTTTGATTTTGATTAATCATAGATTGAAGATGACACTTGAAATATCGAAAAAAATCTGTCTGCGATTAACTGAATTTTACCCAATCAATCAATCATGATTCAATCACCAAAGTAAACATACAACATAACATCGAGTGAAGATACCATTCCGATTACTGTAGGTCTAATTTTATAACCGTTTGTACTTTATTGTTAGTATTAGTTCTGTGGTAATAATAAAAAATGTCAAAGTCCACTTAAAATTAATGTTTGAGACACGTGTCGTTAACACTAGATATTTGTGTAGTGGTTACTTATTAGCTTGTAAAACAATTGAATTGAAGAATGGTGCCAATCAGATAAAATTTTATTGTGTTTCATATGGACAGGACAATAAGGTGCTCGATTTATTTGAGTATGAGCTGAGATTAATCTATGATTAATCCTAATCTGAAGTCAAGAGAAATAACATTTTAAAATCGTTTAAAAATGTGTATATATGTAATTTTTAATTTATATATTTTAATTTATTTTTTTAAAAGCAAATGTGAGTTTTTTGTGTGTGTTTGTGACGCTTTCAAGCAAAACCCACTCAAAGAAATTTAATAAATTTTGTTGTAGAGCGATTTATGACCAAGGAAAAGCAAATAGAATACTTTTTATTTTTAGGGTCTAAATAAGGAGATATATGTTGGTATATTGATTAAATCCTAGTTTATCTTATATAAATACAACAGAGTTAGTTGCACCATTTATAATTCAAGAATAACTCGACAGATTTTGATGATTTATGATTTGTTGGATTCGTTTCCTCCCAGAATAGCAGAATAATTAACAAAATATCGAAAATCATGACTCAAATGGTGTTAAATAAGGGATGAAAATTGATATGAAGATTCAAATTTAGTTATAGTTATCAAATTCCAATAGAGATGGCGCAAAAGTGCATTATTAGCATTCCTTATGTCTTAAAATTATAATTAATAACTTTATTAATGATTTCCACACATAAGACATTCAGAATACAAGAAAGCAATTAGTTATTTTATTGTGTAAACAAATTCACTCAGCAGACAAGTGCGAAGTTAATAAATAAATGGTCGAAATTTTGCCAAATATAATTTCGAGTGAGGTTTATTTATAGCCCGAAGATATAATTCTTTGTTCACAGGAAAAAACGAGTTGAAGTAGGCAGTTATAAATTGCGATCATCTTGCAATCGCAATCGTCGATAAGATAAGCCAAAATCGACCAATTTTGTAACAAAATAGCGACACATCTAGCCCAAATTTCAGTTTCACTTGCGGAATCGCGTGCGTGTCGCCCCGGCTCTAATGTATAATATTTATACAGTGTATAGTTTGCGTCGGTTTATACTAGAAATAACATAGTATCTATATATCTAATTTGTCTAGTTTTCGAGTTTTTTTTACCAAGCTTATCATTAGAATGAATTGTGTAAATCCAGTGCAACAAGGCTATGCGCCCATACAAATAATGGGACGCAATAATCAAATGGTTGCCAACAACCTAAATCCGAATCAAGTGCCGGCTAATCCGCATCACTCGCAACCATCGCTAAACAATCAATACGGATATTACGCGTCGGCGAATTCGCAAAATGGCGCCTTAAATATGCCGATAATACAACCGCTACAACATGGCGCATGTAGCAATTTCACACCCCGGTTCGACATTCCTTGTAATACGTACCAGAATTGGACGTATGATCAATGCTATGGGTATTACACGGCGGATGGATGCTACACGTCATGTCAGTACACCGATGTTATCGATATGGAAGACTTCATGTAAGCGCTTATCAGAATTTTGTCACGCAAATGGTTGTTACATGCACATTGCAATTTTGATTATAACGAGGTGTTTTATATTCGCATTTGAATGCGGCATTGAGTGCGAATAACGGACGAGAAAGAAGTTTAATGTTGTTTTGATTCAGTTTAATGGAGTTTGAAGGTGGATGCAATGAAATGCATCTGCAGGCGGCTTGTGCGTCATGCAAACAAGGGCATAAATAAACCGATATACATTTTAAATTGTATATTGTATCAGGGTTATATTTATCTGGAGCGTGTGTATGATTTTCAGAATGAGGTGACGCTGATTTACAGTCGTTAACGTTTTGTAACTAATTGTTATCTAATTAGGTACTTGTTTAACAATTAGATAAATTCATATTCGGTTTGTTCACCTTTTCAGATTTAATTACAATTTAATATTTTGATCAAAAAATTACTGTTACTTTGATTAGTTTAATATTTATTTGTATTTTTGCCTATTTTCCCCTCTGAACATTACCTACGCAACTATTGACGATGTTTTGACGGGTTATCAGACGTGGGGATTATCCCTCAAGGTCGTCACTATATTTATTCGTTAAAGTTCTGCCGGTAGAGCTAAAAATCGATGAATGATGAATCAGTTGACCTACTATTTCTATTTTCCTGACGCGACATAAACTTTTCTACGCTTCATTTTTTAAATTTTCATTTTTTTGCTTGTTTTTGCAGGAATAATGAAAAGCGAAAGGAGAAATCCCGTGATGCGGCGCGTTGTCGTCGCTCCAGGGAAACGGAAATCTTCTCAGATCTCTCCGCGGCGTTGCCCCTCACCCAGGAGCAAATTTCCCAGCTGGATAAAGCGTCCATCATGCGACTAGCGATTTCATACTTGAAAGTTCGCGATATGATTAAATTGGGTAAGTTTATCTGAATTAAACTTAAAATTAAAAACTGAATATTTATTCATTCAAAACTTTTTATTGAATTTTAGTGCCGGAAATATGCACTGAAGAAGCCGAATCCAAATGTTTAGACATCAAACACTCCGAGAATACTACAGAGTCTGTCTTTTTGAAAACCATCGATGGTTTCGTCTTTGTTTTATCGACTGACGGTGATTTTGTTTACGTGTCCGAAAATATTTGTGATTATCTCGGCATTAATCAGGTATTTTATTGTAAAATTTAAACCATAGGCAATTTACTAATCTATTTGATCCATAGATTGATTTATTGGGTCAAAATATATATGACTACAGTCATCCGTGCGATCACGACGAGATCAAAGAGATGATCTCGATCAAAAACAAGGATCAATTCGATAGCGAAGATACAAAGTCGTTCTTTTTGCGCCTCAAATGCACACTCACCGCAAAAGGTCGCTCGGTGAATTTGAAATCAGCGTCGTACAAAGTGATCCATTGCACTGGACACATGATGCACACTACAGATGATACTCAAGCTTTGGAGTCCAACAGCAATCTGCAGCATTGCCTGGTTGCGATTGGACAACCAATTCCGCATCCTTCGAACATCGAAGCGCCGTTACCACATCAGACGTTCTTTACCAAGCATAGTTTGGATATGAAATTTACTTATGCCGATGAAAAGTAAGAAGAGTGTTTTGTTGTTATTGAAAGCAAATATATTTATTAATCGTGATTTTATTTTTAGAATGTTGGAGTTTTTGGGTTTTGAGTCTGATGATTTGATCGGGAAATCCGTTTACGAATATCATCATGCAATGGATATGAATGTTATTTCTACAGCTTATAAATCATGTAAGAAAAATTACAAATTTTTTACGTTTTTACATTTTATTAACTTATTTATTTATTTTTTGTTTTAGTGTTTTCTAAAGGACAATGCGAGACAAATCGCTACAGATTTTTGGCTAAAACCGGCGGATATTGCTGGGTCCTCACCCAGGCGACATTGCTCTACGATAAAGTCCAGAAACCTGAGAGTGTTGTGTGTGTCAACTTCATCATAAGGTAGGATTTTTTAAAATTATTATTTTCGCGCATTTACAATTCGCGTTCTACTGCGTACTATTTTCTTTGCTTGAAATTCATTAAGAGACTTATTTATTCGATTTTCTTCCAAAATGACTTTAATAATTATTATTTTATCATTATTTACTGCATGTCGATGGGTCTCTTGAAAATATTTACGCTTTCAGGATGTGATTTATTTTACGACTTTGAAATTGCCATTTTTATTCGCGCGCCAACATTACATTCGTCTAGCTTTTATTTTCTTAATCAATCTCGGAAAAAAATAAACAAATTACATATTTTATACCTCGTAATTTACGAGTGCATGCAACGAATAATATTGAAAACATAGCGAAATGCAATTAAACTAAACGAATAAAAAAACTTGTGTGATGACTGTAATTAGATGCGAGATTGCAGCGCGAGTTGTAAAATGTCGTTTGTGCGCTTTTCCGACCTACCCGAATCGTCTATACAACTGAATCTATGTTATTTGTTATTGTTGGTATTAAATGCACGGAACAATCGGATCCGCCGATATTCGTTAGTCGTAATAACTCGTTACAGTGCAATTATCTCGATTTGCGGATAATTGTAGCCGACTTGTCGGCACCGGTCAATATTTATGGAGATTGCGTGGAAATTCATTCCTGTGTGGGAACAATGAATGCATTATTTATCCATTTATCAGCGAATTGAATCTGTTTTGTGGTTTGCGAAGATGATTAAATTCTGCAGTAGACTATAGGATTTGAGCCGCGATTGAAATCCGGCGCACGTGGACGAGCGCGTGCGCATCAAGGTTAACATTTGTTTATTTTTAATGCGGGTTGGTTCTGTTTGTTTACGCGGCCATCCTTCGAGTGGACTAAACATAGATCTAACGAGGCCCTTAGAATCCTAATGCGATTTTATTATTGATGATTACGCCTTCTAAATTTGCTAATTGAATTTCATTTTGATTTAAGTCACGTTACTTATTTAATTAATAGTAAATTATAACTTGACGAAAAGAGTAACGCAAAGGAGTAATTTTAGTATTTTAACTTATGCCAACGATGTCGCAACGATCCGTGAACTTTTGCTTCTGTTTTCGCTGTAATCATCCGCTTGCTATTTTTGTTTACGAGATGCACGCGTTCAATTGAACCGATCCATGTTTGCTCATCGAACAATGACGTGCAGCACTCGTGAGAATTTAAAAGTTATAAAATTTTGAATGTTTTACATATTTAAACCTGAAAATTACATTTTATTCACGTACTGCATCACGATTGGCTGGTTTTTACAACGAACTGTCCGCTCTGAGTTCACAGGTGCTTAAAATTATTATGCATATGATGTATACTCTTCGAGCAATGACACGCAACGCATATTCATAACTATATAATCACAGTTTTAATGTGTTACAAAGTTTGAAGCATAAAGTTGCTTTTTTTTATTTTAAAATTTCAACTTGCACATGCGCTGCATTTTTATGGCCTCTGATTATACAATGTTGATCGATTAATGGCGATTAATAACGATTATTTACCATTTCTCATAAATGATGCATTCCTGGCGTATCAATAAATATTTCACAGAACGCCACACTGTCACGAATTGAGTGGCAATGTATTTATAGGTAGGTAATTGCGAATGTAGTGTGTCCATAAAAATGGAAATGAGATGGCGGCGCTTTTTTTTCTACGTTTCTGATGTACCGACAACGTATGTCAAGGATGCCTAGCAATAAACATTATTTAAAGTTGTATAAAAACAATGTCAACAAAATCATGTCGAGTTAGACTTATTCTCTGTTAATATTTTTCTATTATTAATCCCGGGAAGCTACACCTCAACCGTAAATACGAATGTGATTCATGATACATGTTTGATGTAAAGTTGATAATGTAGGGCTATAAATATTATTTTTTATTACGTTTTCCGCCGCAATTGACTGAATGATTACAAATAATTGCATTTTATTGCCAATTAAAATATTTTCCGAATAAATAATTACTTTGTACTCAAACTCTGTTTGGTAATATTTCTAAATTCTAAATTACTATTATAGTAGTAAACAAGTTTGATAAAATAATCAAATCAACATATATTGTGAAAGAAAAAGTGTTATCGCTATCGATGCATGCGTGTTTGTATCATGTTTTGGTGATAATGTCTATGATGTATCTCAGCGTGGCCTGACGGAGGATTATGTAATGGCGCGCGACTCACGAATTAAACAATTTTTCCGCTCGCACATTTCAGGCACGGCGATAACACGCTCACAACACATAGCATCACGCAAACGCAAGCAGATAGCGATCGACCGAATCTAGTTAAACAAAAACATCATTCTTTTTGCACGCGAAAATCATGTCGGGATATCATCACAATAAGTGCTTTTCATTTAATACGTTTAGCTTCGTTTAAAAACTGTCAGCGTAACAATCTGTGATTTTTGTGAGCGTGAATGCGTTGGTTTTGTTTTAGTTTATTACAACTAAGCAATTGAAACGTACGTCATCGTTGTAGAGAAGTGTAACAAGTGCGTGAGGCGAGTTATGTTTAATGTCTGTCGTTTAGCGCAGCGGAGCGCCATAACGACAGTGTAATAAATGCGTTTGACCTCAATAATTTGGTATATTATGGCTGATAACAGCGCAAGGCACTGTTTTATTTAGAGTGTTGCATAACGTTGCGATTCTCTGTCAAGGAAGAAAGAATGAACATTCTTTGAATGAACATTTTTTTCTCGCCGCCATATTGGAAATCGAAAGATGCCATTTCAACCCCAAATGAGAAAATTTTTTAAAAATGCTGTGAAAATCGTTTTGTTATATAAATGCAGTTGAAGAACTATCAAAAATCACTTGACCTCAGTAGATTATCTTTTTGTGATTGTGATTTTAACGAAAACTAAATTTTAAGTTTGTGGTGCATGAAAAAAAGTTGTAAACTTGTAAAATTTGCATTTTTACTAACAAAATCCGCTACTTTTTAAATACTTTCAACTTTACTACAGCTTACACTCGAAAACTAAACCAACAGGTTTTAGGATCGTAAGTCTTACTGTAGAATGAAAAAAAAAGTTTGACGAGAAGTTTATATCGTCGAAGTCAAGGCCAAAGAAACGAAACATTTGATGTTTCGAACGCATAAAGTGAATTGATGCATAAATTATGAATTTCTACGCTCGCCGGCTGATTCCTACATAGAAACAGACATCGGAGCCTGTAATAACACCGAAAATACATTTGCGATTGTCAAATAATACACATTAGTTTGCGTTGGTACTTTTCCTATAAAACTTACAAGCATGTATATTTGCATTCGCAAATATGGAAATTGAACGGCGAACAATAAAATTTTTACATGAACAACTTAAAAGCGACAAACACAACTGGATTTCTATAATGCTTTCTACCAAGGCTACCTCACATATTTAAATATTAGCATATTACTACAACGGTGGATACAATATCACAATATCAGGAAATTCGTAAGAGGAGAATTTGAATAAAAGATGATTTCGTCCGTAACATGCGCATTCAAAATTGTAACACATTTCACTCATGACTAGATCACGATCATGATGTTAAGGTTCGGTTCGGTCTGATTCGATGTGCGTATGATGTAAGCCCGGCGCGTATCATTCTCAGATAGTAGTGTTATTAAGTATCCCACATAATAAATTATAATTGAGTGTGCCGGCTCATCACGTGATCGCATCGCGTCGCTTGCGCTCTATGTAGCGAGCCGCGCAATTGAATACGGACCGACGGTGTGTTTCATTCATTTGGCTGCCAACCACAACGGCGGCACGACGCTAGACGCTGAAAAACATTAAACAATCCGCCATCTGCGCTTGTAGAAAGTTGTCACACAAGTTTCAAGAGTTTATAATTCGATTGATTTCGCACTAATTAACGCTACGCCTGCGCCACAAGTGATATAGATAGATATAAAGTGCGGATTGAAACACAAAGTGAATTTATTCATCTAGCGAGGTGGAGTGTGCGGGCGAAATCTACGCCGCCTTCCAATTGGAATCCTCGTCGAAGATCCAAGTGAGCGCTAGCGCGCGTGCGCAGACGACGCCGCCGCTGCTCTCGCCGTTGGAGATTACCACCGATGCAGAGGAGGAGATTGACATCAAGCTGCCGCTTGTTGGTGGCCTGGAGGATAATTTCGTGCCGTTGACGATTACGCCGCCTGCTTCCGTGCCGGAGCATATTGTCGAAGAGGACGATAATAGTCGGCAGGGTCTGACCGAGCACAAATTTGAAGTGCACGGGCCGAAGACGGCCACGTCAAAGATTTTTGCGCCACGAACGGAAGAGATGAATAAGGGATTCCTCACGTTCTCGGACGAAGAACCAGGCCTTACTCGTAAGTATCGTGAGTGAAAACAACATCGTCGACAAGGAACAAAAGTTGTAAATCGACTGGAAAAGTGAAGAATTTTGTGTGGATAATTGCGAGGATTATTTCTTCAAGGGAGGAATTTGAGGATTACATATTACGAGCAAATTCATATTGGAAATGTTTATTTTTCGATTTGTGTTATCAGTGCTAATGTCAAATGTGCGAATGCGTTGTTTACACGCCGAAAATACCGAAATAGATTATTGCTACGTCTGCCGCGAGCACTCGATCACACTCGACTGCGACGTCGATTACACATTAATTTATATTATCTTTTATATTTGATTGATTTTACATTATTTCCACGGTTTTTCAACGTAAAAATAGTCGTAAACAAATAATTATATATCGGTCGGAGTTTTCAACCGTTTCCCAGGCACAATTAGCTCAACCTTGAATTGAAATTTATCGGTATTCGTGCTCGCAATAGCAGGATCGTTTGTTTATTGGCAATTAACGCAATTAACACAACCTGAAAATAGTTTCTTACCAGTGTCGTCGTTTCGGATCTGACGGAAATTGCAAGAGCGGTTTTCGGCTTGTTTTTGACTACTCTTGATTTGAAACAATTTGTTTTTTAACCCAGTGACTTTTCAAATTTGCATACCTGCCGATGAATCCGAATTAGAATGCGATCGGCCGTCGCATGCGTTGCATGCGTGCTTAACAATCGAGTTAAATTTAGCCCCCATCGTAAATCGAGGATGCCTGATTGCACAATCGTTTTAATTCGCGCAGATCAACAGACTAAGTTCGCGCCGATGCTATTTTAAGTTCACTTTTGTTTGTTTTTATTCAACTACGCAATGAACAATCGCAGGCAGCAGATTAAGACTTATGTCATGATTGATATATGAAATTCAACTTGTAATTAAAATTCTGCGGTTAAAAATGGTTAAATCTAGCTTCACAGGTAGCTTGAAAACCTTGAAATGATTTTTATCACTTTTCTTCCTTCTAAACGCATATAATTTCAAAATTATTATTTACATCTTAACACGCAACTCTACAACAATTTAAAATAATTGTATTGTATGTTAGATTTAGCACGAACGTTTGTTAGTCCGAGTTTTAATCAAATTCCAATCTAATTGTTTATCCACGCCCGCAATTATCTTCACAATAATAACAGATCGTGATCACAACTTTTGGATCCTAAAAAAAACATTGGATTATTATTTACATATCAACTATTTTAGTGTTGAAAGATGAGCCTGATGACTTGACACACTTGGCGCCTGTGGCCGGTGATGTAGTCTCGTTGGAAACACATCCGTTCCTCACGGACATGTTGGATGATTTCCTGCTTAAAGATGGCGGCTTTTGTCCACTCTTGACCGAGGAACCGCAGGATCCATTTATTGCCTACAGAGATTCGTGTGACCCGTCGCCACAATTGCTTTCCCCTAACATTCTAAAGGTTTTATAACACTACTTGAGGTCTAGAAGATTGTTTTGACCGTGATTGTTGTAGACTTCGGACTGTAGCCTTCCATCGCTAAATAGTCCCACTGACTCGCTCAGCGAGGAAGACCAAATGACTACATTTATGACCTTTCCAATGGAAGAGGATCCCGAGTTGGTCATGAAAGCACCGTATATATCGATGACAATTGGCGATGACTTGCCCTTGCTGAATTCAGAAGATCTCATGTGGAGCGAGGGCGTGCATGGCGTACAAACGCAATACTCTAATCGTAAGGGATACGCTGGGAATGGTGTGGCTAATCCCTCCGGGATTACCCCCGGAAGCACGTCTAGTCTGGCTGAATTATTGAGTGCCAGCGTGAGCAAACACACCAAGGAGGACATTCTTGACAGGATAGATCCCTATAGCAATAAAAGTAATTATCCCATCCAAAGTAATCTTAGTTTTATTCACATGTACTGTTTCTTCTAGGTGTGCATAGTTTAAGCGGAGTAAAGCGTGGTGCTACTCCCTATGACATCTCTCCCAAGCGGATAAAGAGCGAACCGAAGGACATGATGTCCTCGGAGTTGCTCCAGCAGCTGATTTCGAATAATACGCACAATGCAGCCGCGCGACGTGTGAAGAACAAGAGCAATTGGCTGTTGGACACCGGCGGTAAGAAGGCCGCCTGTGTCAGTCAGCCCAGCGACAGCGTGCTGATGAATTTATTGGTAAGCGGGTTCGATATTCGATCTGGATATATTTGTTTAGCGCCGAGCAGAAAGAATTGAGATTTTGGATCTTCGCGGGAATTTGTCTTCCCATGGAATCACACAATTTGTAAATAAATTATTTGTATAAGAATTTGTAACCGAAACGAAAAAAGAAAGACTAAATATTTGTGATTTGTGATATACATCGTTTACATGCAAGCATTGAGAAAATGTCTTTTATAAAGACTTCATGTAATTGTTTATTTAATTGTATTTTAATCATTACTCCTGGACTATTGCGAAAAGAAAATATGTTTTTGCCACCCTTCATTATTTTCACTTCTTTTTATATCGCTTCCAAGCTGATATTTTATTAGATTTATTGGATTTGTTGCTTATTAATTTTGAAAAGATTAAGAAATATATTGAGTTTTGTTTATTTTTATTTTTTTCCTTCGTTTTCACTTAATTAATTAATTATTTTCTCAAATCTCAGATAATAATCACTTTTTTATGACTTTATGAAAATAATTGTATGCATTAATGTCAATATTAGATAAATTTGCATAATTTTCCATGCATTTTCCTGTACTTTTTGTTTCAGATTCAAAAATCTCAATTCTGTTCTGGTATAGTCATAGTTTAATATTTATATTAATTTTTAATTAGTTTTGTGTTTAAACAATGACTAATTATTTTGATTGTTCTGTAGGATACTGACCAATCAATGCCATTGTCACCAGCGCAAAGAACATTAAACTTATCTGACCAGGAATCATTTTTGCTGACGACGAGAACAATGCAACCACCTTCGCAACAGATCCAACTACAAAATGCGATGCTACAGCAACAGCTTCTCCAGCTGCAACAAAAGCAATTCCTGCTTGAGCAACAGCAGATTTTGGATCAGCGGCAGCCGCATGCTCGCAAGTCCTCGATTTCACTGCTCGACCCCGAGGCGCTCGGCATTTCGTCGCTCCTGGATCTCACGCAGCAGGACTACGAAGTCAATGCGCCTGTTTGCAATAACTTATTACAGGGAGATGATCTTTTGTTCGCTCTGAACAACGACGGTGTTCTCAGCGATGGGGTCATCTAGCTAGAGGCTGAACCGTTTGCGGTTCAGGAGGATGATCATGTTACAGATACAAATGAAACGAATGAAATTATGCTTACAACAGATACAATAGACTTAGATACGAATGAAGCAACCGCAGATGATATTTCTATTTCAAACGACCAACTTGAACAGGAATCTAACGCAAAACCACAAACGCTGCGTGTACAATCTTTTAAGATAGTAAATTGTAACCGAAGCAACCAAAATATTATTTTGTTAATTCAATGAATTGAAGTTAAGTGCTAAAATGTAACTATTGACTGATTTACGAAGGGTACACATTAATCATAAGCAAACACAAACTACTACAAATGGAACAAATATCTTAAAATATTGTACAAGTACTGATTATCTCATTGCAAACATTTTACCATTGACCGGACTCAAGTGTCACTTTTACTCTTTGCACTTTTCAAATCCCACGCACTGATCCTCAAACTGCCATCATGACATTTCAATTCATCATCATTTAGCAAGACATTAGTCCCTAAGAGTAGCAAATAACGCGAAAAGTTAATATATATTTTCAATTAATGAAGGTTTGGTTTCTGATTTGTACTTGTATAAAATCTAAACTTTGATTTGATTTAAGAATTTACACCACTTTAGCATAAATAATTTGCTCGATATCTTACTTATTTACATAGATATTAAATTAATGGCCTTACGGGAATTTCAATTAAAATTAAGCGTTCGTTAACTCAGGAGCGAGTAAATGCTTTGTGTTATGTAGAAGAAAATGGTAACGTAATAATATAGCAAGAAAAAAACTGCAAATAATTGATGGATACGATTGCGCACGAGAATCTACGTCAAGAATTCTATATGAATTGTAGCAATTATAATATGTAATCCATGCTAGTAATAAGCAAATCATGTTGAAATAGATCTGTTAATAATATAATATTTACATCAATGGATGATGACGAACTGGTAACGGGTCGAGGATACATTTCGATTCACTACTGCAACTTCAGATATCATTACAACAAATGTTACAAGAACATTGTATATTTTCGCCGGGTTTATTTTAATAAGGAAATGATTGCAACAATATGTTAACAAATATTGTAATTCATACATACATATATCGGACAGTAGTATAAACAATAAGATATATAAATATACATGTACTTTTTTAGTAACTTATTTGTTTTATTTCAGCGCGCATACTCTGCTTATGTGTTGAACGCAGTGCGCTCTGCTTAGTTCTAGTTCGGCGCCGTTTGTTGGTTGAGCCGAACGTGTTCTTAAGTTCCTTACGGTTCCTGCAGTTTCCTTTTTGCGTGTCCTTGTCGGAAATACTGCGCTGCAGATGCGTGCGCAGTCTTATCGCAGGTTGTCGCATGCGCTCGCAGCTTGTTCGGCTGCGCGATGCACTCTGCTTAGTTAGTTCTGTGCGGGTCGTTTGCTGAGTCAGTGGTATTTCTCGCGGCTTCTATAGTTTTCTTGTTTAGTTTGTAAATTCAGTAAATCGCGCTCGAGTTCGATCGTCTATCGACTGTGTTTACTTGTATCGGACTAATGCACCTGAGTCTGACATCGTAGAAGGACCATTCTTGCATCAGATTGTAAGTATTTAATTTCATTATCATATTTCTAAATAACTTTTGTGTTTATCTCACAAATTGACCCCCAAAATTGTATTTTTATGTTCGAAGGACTAATTTTTGCTGGTTTTAGGGATATTGCACCTGAAGTCGACATCGTAGCAGAACCATTCTTGCATCAGATTGTAAGTATTTAATTTCTTTATCATTTACCCAAATAACTTTTGTGATTATCTCACAAATTGACCCCCAAAATTGCATTTATATGTCCCAAGGACTAATTTTTACTTGTTTTAGGGATATTGCACCTGAGCCTGACATCGAAGGATGACCATTCTTGCATCAGATTGTAAGTAATTAATTTCTTTATCATTTTCATACATAACTTTTATAAATAACGTATGAATTAGCGAGAAAAAAATCCTTTTTGTGTTGCGAAGCACTGATTTAGCTGGTTTTCGGGGTTTAGCATCAGCGAGGTCCCTAACGATGTAAAATTTAATTCTTCATGGCGTTGTATTCTAATGTCGTAGGAGATGTACCTGCAGAACATGTATTGTTAGTTAAATTGTACGTTTCGTACGTTGTTATATCGATAACTTGTAACTGTTTGTTTACATTTAGTCATTTTTAATAGTTTTTGGATTATAAATAAAATGGTTTGTGTTTTATTAATATTCGTTCAAGTGAGTGAAATAGAATACCAGGATAAGGTGATAGGAGGTGAGTTACAATAAGAGAGCAATATCTAAGTTTCATATTCAATCCATGTTCTTTATATGATATTATTCTACACTTTGTTTATACTTTCAGTTCGACCTTGGCTTGCGCACCACGCTGTGCGCTGCCATTTGAAATTTGACCAGTACTGCACCGGTCGCCGTGTGTCGTCGGCTTCAAGTGACAATTCGCTATACTGCTCAGAACATCTTGCGTTGTCGTATTGGCGTATCGACTTGAGACTTAAGACACCACGTGCGCGTGTTTAAGCCATCAATATGGCAATATGGTATTGTTAATTAGAGGGGATATATTTTATTAAAAAAGAAGATTGTATTGTTAAATACAAAAAACTCAATTTAAAATTAAAATCTTATTCATACTTCTTTGCGATATCCTCTTTGTCGTTTTCAGGATATGCATCTTAAATCAAATTTCATATGATGCTTATGTGAGTGCAACATTGCTAAGGCATGTGTTGGTGTTTTTAAAAAGTTGAATAAAGTAGAAACATAAATAGAAGAATCAAATATTAATGATAAAAACACTCTGTGGTCGAGTGGAGACGTGCACCTGCTGGCATGCTAGCAGACACGGATCGAATCTCGGGGATGGAAGGCATTTTTCTCAAATATAAAAATGTCAGGTGTAATTTGGGTTGCATATATGAATTGCAACGAAATATAAGAGAAATTGAAATACAAGTGAAGGCAATAAGAGAAGTAAGAAATTAAGTGGAGAAACGAGAACAGAGAAATAGAAGAAGGGGTGTAGTATAGAATAGGAGAAGATAGAAGGAAGAGAACAGAGAGTAGAGACTAGAGAAGAGGAGATAGAAGAAAGAGAACAGGGGAGGTCAGATTTTTAAATTTTTTGTACGTGTCGTTATAAGATCGCCCACTGCTTCGATGCGTCCATTGCTCCCGGCCCATCCTACAGCTACGATGTCTCTGCGCTTCATCCCCGGAATAATCAGGCATATCAACAATTTTTATGGTGGGGGATCATCCCCAGAGAGAGGGAACTCCTTATAAGGACAATCCTTATAAGTACTTATAAAAATATTTCTAAGTTTTAAGTCTTCTCTAGAGAGGAAACACTTAAAAATATTCTTACAAGTTCTGACCTGTACCTGAAATGAGAGAAGGAATACACAAATCATACAAGATACCTTAACAATTTTTATAGTGGGGATCATCCCCTGAGAGAGGGAACTCTCTTAGAGACCTGTTCCTGAAATGATAGAAGGGGTACACACAAATCAAAGAAGTCAATATATCTTACTATTTCTTTATTAACAATATAATACAAGTTTAGATTTTACAAGTCAACAAAATACATGCCGCCATATTGAAACAGGACTTACGACCTGCATAGCCGCGAACATGCAAGCAAGTAGAAGATCGCAAAGTACTGCCTGGATAAAGAAATGAATTAAATACCTACTTAATTACGTGATTGAAAATGGAAACAATTATACAGGAGTTACAAAAAGAAAATTTAAAGTACAAACAAAAACTCTAAACACTACAAACGTCGCTCGTTTTCATCGACAATCAGGAAAACTAATATACAGGGTGTCACAAATAGAAAATTCAAAGTGCAAAGAAGAAAAACGTAAAAACAAACAGCTAAAGCAAAATTTTCACGGACAATATGGAAAACGAATATACAGGGTACTACAAAAGGAAAATCAAAAGTTCGAGAAAGAAAACACTCGGGAATAACAAATTTAGAAAACCTATAATGCGACATCAAGAAAAACAAACATACAGGGTGTTACAAATAGGAAATTCAAAGTGAAAAGAAGAAAAATCTAAAAACAACAGCTAAAGCTAAATTTTCACGGACAATATGGAAAACGAATATACAGGGTACTACAAAAAGAAAATCAAAAGTTCAAGAAAGAAAACACTCGGGAATAACAAATTTAGAAAACTTATAATGGGACATTAAGAAAAATAAACATACAGGGTGTAATAAATAGGAAATTTCTTAATGTAAAAAATAAAATACTAATATTAAGTAGAAAACGACCCGGAAACGATAAATTTAGTCAGTTTAACATTAGAGAGCAAGGAAAAGAAATACATAGGGTGATACAAGAAGAAAATAGCTACATTTAATTAGAAAATTCAAAATATTCGATGCAGAGAATTAGATTCACGAGAGGGTGACACAACAAAACTACAACTACATTTTGAATTAAGAATAGAGAGCTAGAAGAAAAATAAAAGAAAATTTAAATTTGAAAAATGGTAAAATTAAAAAAAAGAAATGATAGGAAAACTAGAATGATAGATAAATAAAACATCAATATGAATTTCATTGGGATTCTAAAATTTTCTTTGCGACGGGTTCTCCAGACACGTCACAAGCAAGGCAAAATGTGTCGGCCGACGGCAAGTCATGTACACATGCGGGAAGAAATTTAAATTGTCTATTAAAACATGTCTCCGCGATTGGAGCATTATGACATCAAAAGAAAACGCGAGCTAAGAAAAATTCACGCTATTAAATCGATGATTGACATGGAAAAAGCAAAGTCTGCAGCGAAACCGAAGACGCACCCGACGGCACGCGCGTCAATTTTGAGTTATTACGGTACTCACGTTACAGGTGATTTAAGACAAAAATGTAATTAATTATGATTTAATAAAGTTTACAAACTTACCAGTGTGTCGGGTAATCAAAGAAAATACTGAAACAAAGAAGCACGTGTGTGAGAATTCGCACTAAGATGCTAACTTATGTAAACCCGTTCCGTCGCATAATGAACATGTACTATTTTAACCGACAATATTCCCGCGACATCCTGCCAAAGACAGACGTTAATTACACTTAGGGTAAAACAGGATAATGGGAGTCACTTAAGGGAGAACTCAAATAAAATTTCAATTATAAACAAAATATATATTACAACCGCATTTATACATTATATACTTAAATAACTACAGTTTGATATAATTTTAGTTACTTTAAATTGTGGATTTTACAACAATTAAAAAAAAAACAGATTTGACTCCCATTGCACCGACATGCGGGTAATGGTGGTCACACTGGGTGCAATCGGAGTCATACGATATCTAGCAGATATCGCAGACATATCCTTCCGCTGAGTCCCACCCAGTGCATTCCGCATGAGCCCACGACCCACATGAGGTGCACCTGAACCATATTTCATTTTTCTGCCAAAATCGTTGCACACTAGACACTTTTCTTCTGCGTCCTCATCGTCCTGCAGTAACCGGCGCTTTGCCCCTTTCTTCTGTATTAGCTTGCCCTGACCTTTACCTTTCCATATCTCTGTTTTTTCATTTTCTTATTTTCTTTTTCTATTAATGCTTCTTTTATTGGGGTGGATGTCAAAATTGTAGCGTGTTGCTTTCGGCTCTTTCTTGTATTTTCCGCTGATGTTTTTCTGGCAACTTAATGAAATCATGCATATGAACTTTACTTGATGAGCCAGATACTGGGGATAATTCAAACATTGATGTGCTAGGATTCATTGCATGAGATTCATTGCAGTCTTGTATTATATATGTCTCGGATTGAAGAATTTCTGCCGCCATGAAGTCATCTTCAGTGAATACTTCCGGATTTAGTGGAACAATTCCACAAGCTCTAAATCCGGATTCTCCTTTGCTAATGGACGCAACATTAATAAAGGCTTTTCTCACCAAGGATGTAACATCGTAGGGCGTTATCTTCTCCGCGAGATGGCTTGTCAAAAACGAGTCGCATTCTTTTTGTAGACCATTTTAAGGGGCCCAAAGAATGAAACGTCCAAAGGTTGCATCCTATGAGATGTATGTGGCGGCAGAGACAACATGTGAATATGATTTACCTTGCAATATTCGTAGATCGTGAGAGAAATGTGGCTAGCATGGTTATCTAGTATCAGCAGAATAGGTTCAAGGGCAGATGGCTTCGCATGTTGTTTAAAATGGACCAACCATTCGAGAAAAGATTTTCGTTGATCCAGCCGTTGTCAGAGCATTTGTATAACGCTCCGGCTGGACCATTCTTCTGTAGCAGAGGAGTTAATCATTTCCTTGGGAAAATGAACATCGGTGGAATGTAGGCAAAACTATCCATAGGGTACATATTTCTAATTTCAATTCTCAGCATCAAAATAATTCAATAGCCGACGGACCACTAACGCATGGATGAAGCATAAGTTTTATTATCATTTTACCCGGAACTCATCTTTCGCAAAACACTACACACGCCTATTGTTATTAAGTGCCGATATTTATGCCGATTTTTAATTAATAAATTGTAATGTAGTTAATTTAACCGAAATGTATAAAAGGAAGATGCCGTGCGGCGTGCAGGTAAGAACAGACTGAAATGGTCGAACGTTCGTAGCGTGACCGCAACATTTCGCGCGTTTATCGCGATATAAAGTAGTTTATATACAAACCCCGATAAGCGCGTAGAATTGAAACCGAAACATTTCTGATGTGCACTAAAAAATATAATATAATGTTTCACATCAATTATAAACTTCAACGCAACTTTACAAAGAGGATAAAAACGATTGCACCAACGGATCGAGATACAGCCAAGTTTCGACCGCGCGTTTCGAAAATTGATGAAAAAAGTAAAAGTTTCAGAACGATTTTAAGGCACTTCTAGCGAGATTTTGAGGGGCGGCAATATCGCATCGTATAAAATGTCTTTCGCGCAATGCAAATTTAAAAGAATTATTAAAATCGCACGAACGGTTCCCGAAATACAGCTAAATTTCCACCGCCTGTTTCGAAAATTCATGAAAATCGTGAAAGTGTGAGAGCGATTTTAAGGTATTTCCCGCGTGATTTTGAGGGCGGCAAGACCATATCGTATAAAATGCCTTTCGCGCTAAGCAAATTTGAAAGAATCATTAAAATCACACGAACGGTACCCGAGATACAGCCAAATTTCCACCGCGTGATTCAAAAATTCATGAACATTGCTTGATAATTTATTTCCACGATTTTCGACAGTAAATATCTAAACTAAAAGAGAGCTAAGAAAAATTCACGTTATTAAATAGATGATTGACATGGAAGAAGCAAAGTCTGCAGCGAAACCGAAGTCGCATCCGACGGCGCGCTTCATTTTTGAGTTATTGCGGTACTCACGTTACACGTGATTTAAGACAAAAATGTAATTAATTATGATAAATAAATAAAGTTTACAAACTTACCAGTGTGTCCGATAATCAAAGAAAGTACTGAAACAAAAAGCACGTGTGTGAGAATTTGCACTATGACGCTCACTTAGGTATATAAACCCTCCGTCGCATAATGAACATGCACATATATTCCCGCGACATCCTGCCAAAGGCAGACGTTAATTACACTTACACAAAACTATCCATAGGATACATATTTCTAATTTCAATTCTCAGCATCCAAATAATCGAATAGCCGACGGACCACTATGTCCGGATGAAGTTTTATTATCATTTTACCTGGAACTCATCTTTCGCAAAACACTACACACGTCTATTGTTATTAAGTGCCGATATATATGCCGATTTTAATTAATAAATTGTAATGTAGTTAATTTAACCGAAATGTTGTTTATACACAAACCCCGATAAGCGCGTAGAATTGAAATCGAAACATTTCTGATGTGCATTTATAAACCGGCCGGATAATAAACGCGCAAATAGTAAATAACTTTACTCTAGTGATTACAATTAAATAGTCGAATGATGATTAAATATAATTCAAACAATACGAGTCGCGTAAAATTAAATGGAAAATTAAAATTCGATTTGCGTAATTATGATTTCTTGTGCTGACAGAGTGTCAGGTTTTAAATTAAAAATGTTAAAAATGTTTTGCAGATGATGATTTTTATAATAAACTATTCCACCTAATGTAAAATTGTTAGTTATATTCATGATTTAAGAATTGTAGAATACTTGCTTAAATGTACGATGCCAATATAAACTGCAAGATGCGATTTTATTCCAAGAAATAAAGATTCGATATCTGCAGGTAAACAAACTTATCTCTTGTGCGAAATCGCGTGATCGCACACGGACACGGTGTGCACTCACTACCACCGACAAGCAATATTTAACGCTAAAACGTGCAACGTAGTGCCATCTAACCGACTATCTAGTAACGGCAGGTTTAAATTCAAAACACATTTTATCATATATGCAGCAAAGTTGATATTGCATGAAAATACCAATCATAAGCAATTTAATAATGCTTGTCAAATCGCAATATTGCTTTAATTTATACTCTATGATACAATATAATAATATTATATTCACACATCGGAGAAAAACAAACATTCTGTGCGGAGTATCGAAATGGTGAGATAAAAGATATCTCCTCAAGCCCAAAGGGTCCTCCTAAGGACGGGAAACAACATGGCAGCAATATGCATCCGAATGATCTACCAACCGACAACGTCACACAATAACCGTTAATAAAACCGCAGCATTTTTGTAATTTAAAATATAAACATCAAAAACGAGCAAAAATGCTTGATAATTTATTACCAACTAGAAAATTATAGATTATGGAAAATTGGAAAATTCTCAATCACATGAAAATTTAAAATAATTTAATTTAATGGGGTAAATGGTCTAAAAACACGACTGAAAGTGCAAAAAATTGCAATTTTTTAATTTTTGACGATTCATTTTAATTGCGAATATCTCGTACACTAAAAGAGATATATACGAACAGATTTCAAATTCTTATTATACGGAAAATTTTATATAAGATAAGCTAATTAAAATTCATATATCAGAGATGAAATTTTAATTCATAAGAAAAATTGGGCAAATGGGAGTCAGCTATACAATCATCCACGTACGGTGCCCTGAACACGAGTTACTTCTACAACTGCCCTTGTGAGGTGCCCTAAACACAAGTCACTTCTACCGCTACCTTCCTACGATGCCCTGAACACGAGTCATTTCTACCGCTGCCCTAAACACGAGTCACTTCTACCGCTACCTTCCTACGATGCCCTGAACACGAGTCATTTCTACCGCTGCCCTAAACACGAGTCACTTCTACCGCTACCCTCATACGGTGCCCTGAATGGGAGTCACTTCTACCGCTGCCCTTGTACGGTGCCCTGAACACTAGTCATTTTTATCGGCACCCTCGTACGGTGCCCATATCTTTTAAACTAAAAGCGATAGCACCCAACGAATTGAAAGTTATGAAAGACTGGAAAATTCTGCATTAGATAAGAATTTAAAATAAATTAATTTTGTAGAATAAAAGGACCAAGAACGTGACTAAAAATGCAATATTTCTTTTTTTGCCCTTTTGTCTAATTTTTCGAGAGACAGCGCGGGCCCCGGCAATCGTTATTTTTTTGGTAATTTTTTGTGTTTGCGATTTAAAAGCGATCAGCCGGGGAATTTACCCCAGTTGACCCCCCTCTCATCGGCCCTGTAGGTAGCTAGTACGTGATAAATAGAAAACTTGTTTATAAACAGCAAAGGTAAATTTGACCGAAAAATATAATTAAATTATAAACTTACCAGGGTACAGCTTATGGGACTGCCAGGCACAACGAGTGCTGTAACTAAACAAAAACATAAATTAAAACCAAAATATTTCATACAATTGAATTATGTTATAATTATCAATCAACACAAAATAAACAATGTGCTGTTTAGTTAAAAAATACTTACACGAGCCTGAAGGATCTTTCTTAAGGATGAGAATCAACATGGGGGCGATATATATCCGATTAATTTAGAAACCCACACCAAACACAACGCCGAGTGAAGAATGTTATCAAATTCACTATCACGTGACTTGTAAAATACGTAACAAACGCGATCAAAAACCGGCTTTTCCGAATATTAACCAAATTACTACAGTCACATAGTACAAATAAATAGTCGATTGATCTTCGAGTATAACACAAATTTAGAATGTTGAAGTTCGAATAAACGATATAAGTCACTCAAAACACAATTGTATTCACCAGCGACCGGCACGAAACTGGCTGCAATCCACCGATAGTGCATGCCGAAACTGCATAAACAACGACGGGTCAGTATATGATAAGAAAGCAAGAGGTGCGCAAAGACGGCACGCGACCTTGCGCGCGAATTTGCACATAATACCGGTGATCTAAACTAAACTAGACTTCGCTGCATGCAGCAAGTTGATGCGGCGCTAGGAGACAGCGCACGAGACACATGCAAAAACGTTGTTTACACCGAATCGCAGAAAACACCATTGTAAACAAAACTATTCTTGTGCCCACGTTTGTCGATAAATATAAAAATAAGCCGTATAACTTGATTTTATGATTTTTAGTGCATCCTAGTGCCACCTATGAATGCGACAGATACTAGTCCCACAATTTAGACTATTATAATCAATAATTAATGTTTCCACGTGTTTCCACTTTTGTATGCAATACATATAGTCAATTAACATGTAGAGCGTCTCTTAAAACTATAACATATTCGCAATATTCCTGCCAAGGACACGCAAAACGGAAACTATAGCACGAGTAGAAGTGCTCTCTAAAGTAGTTCGATAACTTATTCACAGATGGCGATAGCATTCACTTTTCAAATAAAATACTCCAACTCAAACCTTAACAAATAATCCTCATTCCCTAAAATAAAAAAAGTGTGCATACTATATATAGTCGTAATAGAAACCAAACATTTTTACTACAACTCACATCGCTTACATATCTTTTCCTGAGTAGCACATAAATATTCGTCCTTGTGCCGGAAACCTTACAAGTCGTATAGAATTAAAGTAACAACCATATCGGCCTGTAATTATATTAGGTTAATTAAGTTACTGTATCTTCAAAATCAACTTTTCAAGTTTTAACTTCAACTCACTGTTTCAAATTGACTTGACTGCGCCAGGATGGTATCATCAAAGTCTTTTGAATTGGGTATTAATCAATAGGTAATGTTCGATAGTTTGTTCTAATTTAGTTTAAAGCCGGCGAACTTTGGTCCCTCGTCCTTGGCTCCTTGTTGGGCCTTAGTTAACGTCCGCTCGAGAGCACACACACAACGAGTGCGCACGGCGAAAAGGACGATAATGTTGAATGTGCTCGTTTGGTCCTTGCTCCGCTTCTCTCTGGCGCTCCTCCTCTCTGTTCTCCTCTCTTCACACCGCATCACTCGTGATGGTGCGTTGGGTAGTTTCGTACGCTCGGCTTGGAGTGCAGACATCAGATAGCAGATAATGTGCGGGCAGAAGCGCGGCAGCGAGGGCCATTATAATGGAAATTACATTAAACCGAGTTATAATAATTTAATGCCCATGCCCGCACCGCACCGGCGGCACTGCGTCCGGCGCGAAATGGCTTTGTGCTTCCCCGAATACCCTAGTGTTGAGGATGAAACTTGAGCTAATGTTAACGATCATATGGACGTTCTATTAAAGTTAAAGACAATAAGGTTTCTAATAGCCAGAAGTTGATTTTTGTGATAAACGAAAATATTTAAATTCATACTAAATTAAATCTTTTCCTTCCATTTTAAGGCTTTAAGATCTTATCTTTTCATATTATGGTCTGAGAAAATCCATGAATCCTAGAAGTAAAAGACATCCATTAAACTTGCTATAAATTGGGAAAGTTTCTAAAAATCTACATCGAATTTTCCCATATTTCCGATATTGGTATCGGTATTAGAATTCGAAAAAATGTATCTCGCCAAATATGTAACGCTAACTTTGGAACATTTTCATCATTTTTTTTTTAAACTAAACGAAAACAAGTAATATAATATAGCTAGTTTAAAAAAAAACATAGTACTACGGTAGTACTACTACCTCAGAAACGGATATTTATATAAAATCCAGCCGATTTAAATTCTTATTAATTTACATCAGACTTGCCTGTTTTATTTCTGTTCCTGTTTCTCGCAGGAAAACACTTAGTGTGACTAATTTTTCGTTCCTACTTCGTCAATATCAATAAAAGATAACATTTTTACTATGCAATCGCATAAAAATCTATTAATTTCTGAGAATAAAGTCTGTAGTACTATTTCCGCACCAGTTCTCGTATGCCACGTCTCTCCTACATCAATCAAACAAGACTTAATATTTTATGCCAAAAGGTCTCGACGAGGATGGGATTCGAACCCACGCGGGCAGAGCCCATTGGATTAGCAGTCCAACGCCTTAACCACTCGGCCACCTCGTCTTGTTATCAGCCCAACTGGCAGCTGTTGAAGCATGCCTCCTCATTTTTATCATTAAACCAACATCATAAACAATGTTAATTAACATACACTACGAACAGTTGCTCACAGTGGACAGTAATACACAATAATACACAATAAAAAAAGATAAGAGTTGTTTATGGGCGTAATACCATCATTAAGGTTTTAATTCGGTTAAATATTTGTTGATTGTGGAGGTGTCCTGGGTGTGGCAGTAGTAGCATTAGTAAGATTTGTATGTGAAATTAGAAATTATGTTTGTCGATAAATTCGCCTATTAATTGGTTTACACGATTGTGGCGCACGGATTCCGTCTGTCGCGTAATAACTTTCACCCTTAGATTTATACCGAGCCTAAAAATTAAACTAACATCTTACAATTCTAATTAATTACTGATTCTTCAATAAATCATCAAAATATCGCAGCATTTTAACCAATTTAAGTCGGAATTTACTAAAGTTTTATGATAATACATTCCTTAGATTACAAGCAGGATTAAAATGTGCTGCAACATCCTGTATATTCATTTATGTTATAAACTGACCGCCGTCGAGTAAATCACGCCTGATTACAATCGAAATCCCTTTGCCACGAACGTAAACTCTGAGCTACGGCACTATCCTAGCACAACATCAGGTGTATTTACCTATAGATAGGACAGACATTCCCACAATCCCAATATAATCTCGACTTTGACTTAGTTACGCCACACACACGCTCATCTACAAACACATAAGTAAGTAGACATAAATTCGATTAGGTTAAGTTTGCATTTTAGCCCACCATCCACGTCGAGGCTAATTATTTCTTTGTACCTGTGGGGCCCGCCGATAATAAATTATCAAGTAATAAGCTTCATAAAAATGATAATAAAAAGAATGCAATAAACACGAAATGGAAATATCCCCGACATGACGAAAATGCGCAATAAAACGCAATGTCGGAGCGAGAGAGGTGAGAAATTGCGAGGAATTTTAAGCACACACATTTTCAGCGTTGTTTGAACGATGGCGTGTCGTGTGCGGGGCGCGGAATGTGCCAGGTTCGCCCAGCGCGGAAAATTCGTTTTATTACTCAATCGGAGGTAGTTACGTATGCCGCCCACGCGGTTCGCACCCTTGTTTGGCTCGTCTCGGACGTGCCGTTCCCGGTCGTGCTGACGCGTGCATCCAGCGGCAGGGAATGAGCGCGCCCAAGGGTGCGAGGGTACTAAAATGCTAAATTAGCTAAATATGTATGAGCACTGCAACAACTCGCGCGCCGTAAACTTGCATAAGTAGCTGAAATTTTACGCAAGTAACACTTAAATATTTATAGAAAAAAAAAGGTATAACATAAACATCGTTTTTTATAAGATCTATCAAGACATATTAATAACGCAATATGATGTTATGTTGTAATTTATTCGAGTGAAAGGCCACGTGGGCGTCTGCGCTCTGTTGACGGCGATACGTGTTATCTTACCAGCCGCTAGTGGAAATGGCGAAACCCAACCCGAAATGCCTTCGAAACTCGAAACGCGCACAACGCGCGGCCGGGGAATCTAAACTGGGTGCCACTAATAAATCATAGATACGGCAATAGGACACGCCAGGCATGCCCCAGACGTGGTGTGAGGCATGAATATCAGCGTACATCATGGCTCTGTTATTTAATGTGTGCACGCCATCGAATGGCTCTAGCAGCATATCATGGCGGAGGAAAACAGATATGCCATATCTGCCAGATGCAGGCGGCTGTTGTGCACAACAAAATACATACAAGTCTACATGCAGCATGAAATCATGCACGAAAGTTTTTAACTTTTTAAGACACAAAATAAGTAAACTTTGTTCATTGTAGCATGGTGGAGCACAGTGTATCGTCGTAAAAAACAAATTCATATTTACGATTCCATAAAGTCTCGTTTCTCATCCACATCCACATCCTTTGCGTCTGTTATCCCTTGATCCCGTCGCGTCCATCGAGAGCCCTTAGATATTCGAGCACATTACATTCGGCCTCTATATTTTCTGCTTCAGGGTATTTTATGAGTTTTTTTTTTCGCTCCCGCTGTATAAAAGCCAACACAAGCGTCATTTTTATAAATTTATACGTCGAAGACGTTGCCAGACAGCCTATAACTCTGATATAACTCGATGGGAATAGGATATCGATAGGAATTGACAATTTACGTTGAGTAGATATTGTATTTTACGTTTTCTTCGTTTTCGAGAACTAAATAAAGTTTTTCTAGTGACGGGTAGAATTTGATAATGAATGTCTGGTGGTTGGAAGCGAGCGAGAGAAAAAACACATTAACGTTGAAAATAACGTCGTTCATCGATTATATCTATCAGGTTGAAGCTTAGTTTGGCGAGGCGTTCG